AAAAAAAAAAAAAAAAAAAAAAACAATAAGCATACCCGACATTCCAGCCTTCAGACAACCAGAGATTATCTCAACAGATCGAGACCTTGGACCAAGAGTCCCAACGATCTTGGTCATAGCAGGAAAGAAACTCTGAGGAAAAAAAAAAAAACCATCAATAAAAACAAACAAAATAACAACGATGAATCGCGAGTGGAAAGAAAATCTTTAACCCCCAAAAAGAATACAAAAACAATCGAGAACGACACATATCAGGTATTGAGAATGAAATAAAACAGCTTGATAGATCCAAGAGGAATCGAGGACATGAAAAGGGTAGGGAAACTTACAGCCTTGGATGGCTCAAGGATGGAGGCCATGCGAATAGGCTCCTCGAGAAGCAAGTGATTGGAATGCATCTTTGATGAGTGTAATCGGCGGTGATGGAGAAGAACTCGAAAGAAGAAATAAAAACAGAATCGAAATCGGAGGAAGAAGGGAATAAATCAACAATCGAAGGGAGGATCGTGGAGTATGCCTTGGGGATGAGACACTTTCTATCTCTGACTCCGAGAGCGGAACGAGAGAAAACCTGGTTCTGCGCTTTCCACAGGAAACTGCCAACCAAATTCCGAATTATATTTTTCAACTTCTCTTCCCTTACTCTTTTCTTTTACCAATCTCGCGAAAAATTCACTTCAGAAATTCATAACCAAATTATAAAATTACTCTTCTAACCTACTTGTGGTTAGAATTGGGATTCGTGGAAGATTTTGTTTCTTGGTTAGGGTTAGAGGGTATAATTGTAAAACCACATTTTAATTAAAATAAAATAAGTATTGAGCAACTTTAATATTGGACCCAATTCAAATGATTATAGGGTAAAATTTGATGAATATAAATTAACTTTTTAAAAGGGTTTAGCGACACGAGATTGAAACTAGCATGTCTTCGCCCACTGGTTGAAGGCTCCTCCACTTCAATTCATCGAGCCCATGGTTAAAGGGTTTTGGAGCGGTTTCTGTAACCTTTAAACTCCCTCTCAAAATTTTTAAAACTTGTTTACAGGAGAGAGGTTTACACTTCTTTATAAAAAAAATAAATAATGTTTTGTTTTCCTATGTAACAGATGTGGGATCTCACAATCCTCCCTAGCCCTACGTCCTCGCTGCCACTCGTTCCCTTCTCCAATCAATATGGGAACCCCCAATCCACTCCTTTGCTAGCACGCCGCCTCATGTCCACCCTTCTTCGGGGCTCAGCCTCCTTGTTGGCATCTCGTGTCTGGCTGTGATACCATTTATAACTGCTCAAGTCCACTGTTAATATATATTGTCCTCTTTTGTCTTTCCCTTTCGGACTTCATTTCAAGATTTTTAAAACGTGTCTACTAGGCAGAAGTTTCCACGCCCTTATAAAAAGAAATAAAGAATGCTTCATTTTCCTTTCAACCGATGTGGGATCTCACCACAACCATACTATTGCAGGAATATGTAAAATGTTCGATGTCCTTACAAGTGGTATTAGATTCACGATGGAATTATATTAAAAAAGAATAAAATAATATGGCTGTCAAGATATTTCGAGGGTCTTTATCCCTTTCGAGTGATATCAGAATCATGCCCATAAATTAATCACGTGGAAGAATGGTCCGTACTTTGGTTCTTTCCCCTTTTTAAAAAATAAGTGTGTGGAGTAGCCATATCATTTGTCAACAGGGCTATCATTTTCTATGCTTTTTTTTATATCACATCACACTCTCTTATTGTTCCTCTAACTTAAAAAAATAATTCCTTTATCGTTTTCTAAAACTATATTTTAACTTTGTACTTTGTTATATTACGTCATTATTTGTTTTTCAATATATATATATTTTTACTTTTTTTAAACAAATATCTTAATTTCAATGATTTAAAATTTTAATTTTGTTCATATGTTATAATTAACTGACATCTAATATATTTTGATTGTAGGAATAGTTTTTTTTAACATCCAAACAAAATATTAACTATTTTTATTAAAAAATTGAACTTTAAAAGGTATTTTAATTTAAAAATATGAATGAAAACTTAGAAATACATTTGAAATAAAATATTAACATAAATAGAGGAGTTAGAGGTATTTTATATAATTTAACCTAAATAAATAATTTCAAATTATCGCGAAAAATGGAGCCATTGGTATGGATGCGGTGAGAAATTGGGGTGCTGTAAAACCGCGCCGCGGAAAACTTGCGTAACACGTAAGCGTCCAAATGCGCACAAATCTAAATTATAAAAACCCTAATAAAGTTTATTAATAAAAGGGAAATTAATATAAATTTATAAATTTGATGAGGTGTCTCAATCTTGACAATAACGCCTTAAAAGTTTATTCCATTTTTTCTTTTACCTTATATATGCCGTTATAATTCAACAAAAAGCAATAAAAATATTTATAAAAAAAACTCAATTCATTCAATAAATCAAATTTTGTGTACAAAACAACCATTTAATAACTTTAAAAAAAAAACCATTTAATAACTATTCAAATATATAAATACTCGTAATTTTTCTAATCAAACAAATGAACTCTAATGTCATTTTCTTTGAATATCAATCAAATTGTGTACGACAAAAATTCTACCTTTATTGCATGCAAATGAAGATAAAAACTACCACTTAATTAAATTTATGAGATAAAAATTACCGTAAAATATTAGGGTAACAAATGATGGATATGGTCAGCTTTGTTTTTCTAAATATTATATTAACATCATTAAAATATTAAAAGAAAAAAAGGAAATTTATGATTATTTTTTAAATTTAAAAAAAAAAAAAGTTTATGATGAAGTTCGTCGTTTAGCGTAATTGCTGAATTGAAAGTTCTGGCATCCTTACATGTGCAAAGATGACAAGGCTGGCAATTTTCATGTGAGGCCAACAGTCACTATATAAAGAAAGGGAAAGTTTGGTTATCAAAATTAATAATTAAAAGAATGCAACTAACTTTCATTAAGTATAAGGATCATACCACTGATGTTCAAGCAATTTTCACCTGCATTTGTGTATGTCATCTACACCGAACGCACTTCTCAGAACATTGGAATCTAGTGAATTCCAAGTACCTACAATGATGCCACAAGCCAAAGCTTGCTGCGCATGTTTTGCGGCCAATCGGTGAGCTTCCAAGACTTTGTCATCTCCAAGGAGATTTCTGAGAGCCTCTGCAAGGTCCAGCTTTCCATGAACCTGAATCAGCTGATTATAAGTGAGATTTGATACTAAAGACCAGTCAGCGATGGTCAAGGAAGAAAGTTCAGATCTTTTAAGAAACATTTGTTTTGCTACTTTCTACAGCTACGTCAGGAAGAGCCAAGTTCAATATTAAAATAACATGGCCATTGTTTCGGAGATTTGTAATGAGTTGTAGTTTGGGCCTCATTGGTAATTTTAATTTTTTATTAGAAAAATAACAGCATTTCATTGAACTAATCAAATATATAAAAGAAGGGGAGGAAGTTACATAACATCTTCCCAATTGTCTAAGAAATCAGCAGTACAATTATCAAGTGATAACTATCGCCCTTCTTTTTCTTTTTCGATAGGATATCACCTTTAGTTTCTTATAGAAGCAGGCATCGACATAGTTACCCTAATGGAGAATGGTGGAAAATTTCGCACCAACTATTCATATGAACCCGTCATCAAACCAGAACTATCATAAAAAATCAAATTAACCGGCATTTGAAGGCCGTATCAAGATCTTAAAGTTAAAATCCCGACAGTTAATACTTGGAGTGTTGGACTAATATGAGATGTCGTCAGGGATAGAGGACCAAACTTGAAATATTGCAATGACTCAAAGAAAACGTCCAATATCTGAATCCAAGCCAGAGAATTCCTTTCAGAGAAATAAAAGGGAAATGTAAAGAGGTAAAATATTTTCTGTTCACCTGCAAAACTGACATTGGATTAAACTGCTGCATTTTAGCCACCATGCTTGAGAAATGGGCAATATATGGACCTGGCAGAGGAAAAGGAACAAGTCCCTGAGAACAGGACATTTAAGGATGATGAGTACAGATCATAAAGACTACGGCAGCAAATACTCACCAGTCAAAACAGCACAACCAGCTGCAGCAGCTTCTGATATGTTGTGACCAGCAAGACCAGGCAAGAAGGATCCTCCAACCACAGCAATGGAAGTTATTCCATACAAATATCTTAATTCACCTAAATTGCACGTGGAAATCACATTAGAAGATTTATCCAAAAGTAACCAATACATCCCTCCTAAGCTTTGAAATTAACAGTACAAGATCCAGAAAATATATTTATTCCTTGGGCCCACAAAATCAGATGATAAGATTTGACTGTGGCATGCCATTGATGTTAAAGTTACTCTGAAATGTACAGTTGCTGATTTACAAGAAATTCATCACAATTGTAGTTAAATGCACCTTTTAAGAATTCTCAGTTTCAATCGGTGCCTCTTAAAAGATGTTGCTAAGTTCCTATAAGAATGTTCCTCAATGAATTTCTGGAAGGAGATTTTTCAGAATCCTTAATTTGGTATATATGGTGAGAAAGAAATGGTAGAATTTACCGTTCAAGCAATTAGTTTCCTCAATTACCCTTTTTGCATTTCTACTCTTGATGGAAAATACCTTTCTTACCAAAACATGAAGAAAGATATTGTATATATTATGTGTCTCATTCATTATGGGTCATCATCCTACCTGAAAAACTTGACCAGCGGTTTTCCCTCTAAAGCTATGGACATGGCCCTCTATTCAGTACAATAATTAACAAAGCTCATAGATTATATCTTTATATATCTAGTATCTTAGAAGCTCACTTCTAAAGAGAGAGATGAATTCAAGTAAACATTCGAATGAAACACCATATGGAATCGATATTGCATACCTAATGTGTCTACAACATATACATTCGTTCCTGATGTGATGTTTTCACCTTGAGATCTCAAAGCTACATTCTGCCCTTCTTTCTGCATTTCCTGTGCTAATTAAAATGGCAATACCAAAATCAAACCTGGAGCTAATCGTCAAAATAGAGCCCCACATATGTCAAAGGTTATACTGACGAAGAAAATTAACAAGTAAAATTCCAGTCTCGTATAGTTGTTCGACATAGAATGGTCATTTATAGATATTCCATTACCAAACCTTTTGCTTGAAATATAGTCGTTGATCAAAGAGTTAATTTAAGGATTTTTTCCCCGCATCAAGTATCTTTCACATGACTCAGCAGCATATTTAACTTTAGAAAACTCTTTGAGGGCATAAACATCTCAAAGAAAATGAATGAAAAAACCCCACATTATATTTAATGATCGAAGTAATTGGTGAGACTGACAAGACTTAGTAAAAGGTTGTCTAATTATCATTATCAATACTGTGTAAAAAGCACAAAAACGAAGTATAAGAAACCTACTAGAGCAATCTCTTTTCCATGCAGTGGATGTCGAGGTACAATAATAGTGACTAGACTTGGGTGTGCTTCTAAGAGCATTTTGTGAACTTCAAGTATAACTGCAGAATGAGAAACGTAACCAATATTAACTTCATTACAGGGCATTAAAATTCATTTCTATGTTCTGTTACAGCAATGCATGATTTTGCCACACGCATTCAACTCACCAATTTGGATCTCCAAAACAGAAAACCAATGTTCCAAGATACCGCTATCGAACTATTCAACTATGCACTTACCATCATAATAGAGCTCAACATCAAGAAATATTAACTCGAGGGAGATTGCATGAAGTAAACAATATGTCAAATTTAAAACACACATCAAAGTGTAGATTGCAAAAGCATTTGCGGCATTTCTCTATGGATGCAAAAGCTAAGGGGAAATAACTTGCTCTTTAGCAGATTGAACAAGAAAATCATGGAAATGCCACAGCATCCAAACTGACATTAGAAGTAGTTATGCATGCATAACTTGATTTTATGGGAGAAAATAAAATATAGGAGAAATTAACCTTCTTCTTCGCCTCTATGTATGGATGAAGCCATCCAAACTTGTCTTTGGGCCAATTGTGCTCTTAGATCTTCAACCTTTTTTATCTCTGCCACTGACATTCCAATATCTTCAACGGCTGAAAAGAAAATCAAAATCCAACAGTAATTTATAGTTCAAATAGCAAAAGCACGCTGATCAAATTCAGTGAAAGTAATAGTGAAAACAATGTGGTTTGATGATTTTATTAAAAAGGTGATTACACCGATCCCATTCTTGTCCAATAACAGTTGACAAACCAACTGTGCATTCATTACAGAAAACATAATTTTTGTTCCACCATATTAAAAGAAAAAGGTTGATTATGTACCAAATTTCAGATCACCAGCAAAACTGATGATCGGTGGTGGAGCCTGCAGTAGCTGGAACCGGATGGCCTGTAGGTTGCTCTAAAATAAAAAACAAGATAAATGACACAATTAAAAAAAAAAAACAGTTATAATAAGAATAGTTAGAAGGTCCATACCAATGGGAGAATCAATGAGAACTTTGATAGCATTAAAGAAATCAGGGGAATAAACACTGGAATTGACCAATGCTTAAAAGACGTAGCTGACATCCGAGCATTTAACAATGCCATAGTAATCTGAAGAGAGTAAGGGCGAATGTAAAAATCACACGCCTCAATACAAATTTGACTTTCTGAGGTAGAATCATTTAAAATAGAATAAAAATTATTAAAATAAAACGATGACATGATCAAGATAATCATGTCTAAATGAGAAGACACAACTTACACCATGCTGTGAAGCACCCAAGATAAGATTAGGCCAAAGTTCACTCTCCATTAGAATAATAACTTTAGGTTTCCAATGTGCAATGAAAGTGTCTATGGCAGCAGCTGTATCAAGTGGGGCAAACTGATTTGTACAAAAAAATGTGAATACCATGGAAAGTAAATCTGGATAGCCTAGGGCATGTCAAAACCACAAAGTACAAAAATGATTAGTTTTAAGAAAGGAAAAATGTGTCACCTACGCGATAGAGAGAGAGAAAGAGAGAGAGAAGAATATAATATTTTGGATTATTATACTTTGAAGTTATTGTGTACTGAGTGTCAAACAACTAGGAAAATAATTGAAACCAAGAAGTTTTGATACATGGCAAGAAATATTCTCACCGATCTGGATCACATTTAGATATTAAGAATGTGCTAGTTGTAAACATAATCATGCTTTGACAAATCGAACTTCTTAAGAACAGTCAATAGGTAAGCATGGGGTAAATTTGAGGATTTATAGGTTTTGTACTTAAGCAATTACACTGCATTCCTCTTGGCCCTACATCCCATAATTCTCCAAGAAAAGAAAACAATCAACAGACAGCAACTCTATGTGCCCAAGAAAAAAAAATGTTCTTCATCATACATCAAACTGAAGTGTTAACCATTCCACCGAAACATGTGGTATCACACAATCGGAAGAAATGTTTTAGAAAAATACAGAGGGATAGTTCATAAACATAAAGGACCAGCATTACATACATCGTTTCAGATCTCTACTATGGAAAGAAAATTGATCCAACAACACTTTCGGTTAAGAGAGGGAATGTAAAATGAGTACCTGATATATGACACCGGTAGGAAGACAATTCCTCACTACCTGACTGCACAAGAAGAAAATATAATTAGGTCGTCTTATAGACTTTTCATGTTCCCTTTTATGTATAGCTACATAATTCTGTCCAGAAACGATAATAGTGTTCCTATTTTCAGCTAAGCTTATAATTCCACCATGAAAATCCGGTCGGATTTCTCCGTGAGAAATGTCTAGAAAGTAAGCACTCGCTCGTTTACAGAAAAGAAGAACTAATAATGTAAAAACTTATAGAGAAAATCAAATAACATCGATTCTTACAAGGCAGAATAAGTGGTTGTTGTCATCAAAATGTTCAAATCAGGCCTCCTCAAAATACATTGCTTGATTATAGGAATCGTAGCCAAACTTTCTCCTGCACAACGCAGTATGGTTGATTCCGAATTTCTCTGTCTGGAGAAGGAAAATGGTATGGTAATAGAGAACAAACCTAAAGAGACGGCGTGAAACCAGAGAAGTGGACCCGGAGGGCGAGCATGGGAAGGGCGACCAAGACGCTCCGGCCACCGGAGAGGGTGCTCGAGGCCACGAAGCACTCGCCATCGGAGATGAAGATACAGAAATGGCGACAGTCCGTAGCTCAACGCTCTATATACCTTGTAAAGTATCTTCCCCTTCGTTGCCGCCATTCTTCCGGTCTGCTGCAAGAATCCGTGCCGGTAATCGAGAGAGAACGACAGGTTGATTCAAAACAAACATGGGCCCTTATGGACCGTTAAGTTGGCCCATATCACCTCCTTGGCCCAAGTCACATGAGCCTTTAAATGAAGTCCATTAGATTCAAACATAACCAAAACAGGGAAAATGGAAGATGAGAATACGACCAACGGTTCTTCCCCTCAGATCTTCGCTTCACTGGAACCAATCATTGAAGAATCACTACTGGAAGATACCTGGAAAAACTCGATGCCAAATTATATGGCGGTGGCTCCGTCGACGCCAATATCAATTATACCGACAACAACCGAAGACTGGGATGCTTTTTTTGCTGCGCCACCGCCGCCTTCTCCAAAACGACTACGAACAAGCATTGACATTCTTGCTTCAATGGGTACGCAAAGATCTTCAGAAAGCTTCATTCTTTCATGTTTGGTTATATCAAGAACTAAAATTTCTTCAGAAAAGATGGTTCTTTTGAAGGCGAAATAGCTTTTTCCGGCGACAACTTAAAACAAAATATAATCCACATTTACCCGGGCCAGGTAATAACTACAATCAAATGTTCTTTTCAAATCTTGAACTTTAATGTCAGATCAAAACTCGGGAAGTGAAAGCTCAAAAATAACAATATTGCTAGCTGCGTATGAGGAGGCTGGGTCCTGAAACGGGGGAACACGAGGTGGTGTGGGACACTGAATCTGGAACAGAGTGTCAGGGGTGTTACATTTAATCAGTCTTTTTCTACTTCTATTGGGTTATGCAGGACATTGTGGAAAAAATCATGTCATTCTGTAAAGAGGGTCATCGGGTTGCTACAGTTTTGAGAGCCGATGCCGAAGCGACAGTTTCAAGTGCCACCCTTCGTGGACCTGCAAGCGAAGTCGCGTTGGAGGTAATCAACGGGCAAATTAAACTCATGAATTGTCTTGGAAAGAGATGAATCAATTTCGATTTTGTGTAGGGTCGGTTCGAAATACTGTCATTAACAGGGAGGTTTGTAGCGAGTGAATGCGAAAGCGCAGGCAACGGTGGAGCAGGAGGCCGCCTTCATTTAACAGTGTCGATGGTTTTGCAGGACGCGAGGGTCATCGGAGGCACTGTCGTTGGTCCATTAATAGCGGCTACACGCATGCATGTTCGTATACATTGTCTATGACATGTTTGAGAATGCTCTGTTTCAGAATCACTTCCATTTGCTACTCATTTTTTGCAGGTTGTGATTGGAACATTGGACCCAGTTCCATATAAACCAAAGACTGAGATCAATTTAAACATAACACCACCGTCGTCACCATCTTCTAGCTAGAATTTTTTGGACAGCTTTTTAGATGATGTTTTTTTTTTTTGTGAATCTTGTATTATAAAAAATTTTCTTGAATTTTGAACGAAAATTGAGAATTTCTTAATTTTACTCTTCGTTCAAGCTAGCCTTCAGCATCGTCGGAGCCGGCACCTTCGTTTCTTCTTCTTGATCGGAATCCGCCATGGCCGCCGCCCCTCTCAACTTCTCTTAATGCCCACAACTTTCTTCTCCCTTCAATATCTATTTTATGGAACAAGCACAGACATTTATTTTGGATGCTTACAAAAGGCGTTGACTATACATGTTCTATATTAACAGGCTTAGAAAGCCCCAACCTACCAGAAGTCAATTAAATTATTTCATGTAAAATTTTTAGCACTATATATTATAATAAATACCGTATACGACTTGAGAGAACATATAATACGAAGATTTGAATATTCGATAACTTCAACTTTAAAAGATTTGATTTAGCGTAAATTTACGATGACGTATTCTTTTGTAATATGTGCGATATAAAATTAATATATTCTATAACAAAGATATTTATTTTTCTTATTATATAGTTTCGTAGCTAGCTTGCTAAATATATTTCATTTTCATATTTTTATGATACAAACATGATTTCAAAACCCTTCATAAAAAGTTCGAACCATAATAAAGGAAACTCTTTTAATAAATGATTCTGAAATATTCAAAAGATTAGAAGTTCCATAGATGCGAAAAAAAAAACACATTTGGTTGGAGATGAGCACCCAGTGACTTGAGCCACAAGCAAAAGAAGAGAAAGCCAATTGGAATCTAATCTCCGTAGAGTTGGCCCACCCATATTTTTTTTTCCAAAAATAAACCACTAGTCCCTCCAATAATTATTTAATTTTAGTTTTTTTTTAAAAATTTTTGTGGTAAAATTGATTAAAAGTTTAAATATATTCTTAAAATCGTGTTTAAAAAAATAGGTATGAAATTTTAAAAGTAATAATAATATCATTTATTTTTATTAATTTTTTGTATTGGTCAATATAGGAATAAAAACAATAAAGGTATTTATGAATTTTAAAGTTTATTAAAGAAACTTTTGAAAATTGAAAAAGTATTTTTGAAATCATTTTAAAAGTTTAAAGTATTTTTAAATAATAAAAATTGTATTATTTAAAATGTTAAAAGTTAGGTTATTTTTATTAATTCAACCATATTTTAAAAAGTAATTAAAATGTTTGTGTGGTGTACATCGACGTGTGGCGCAAGATAAAAAACCTAAACACAAATCGAACGGCTGAAATTATCCAAAGGAATCTACTAATACGAGGCGTCTGTGATTTCACAGATTTGCAATCAACCGCAACTCTCACAGCGGCTCCTCTGTTACTCCCATTTTCGAGCTCACTGCAAATGGCTACAATCCAATCCGTCAAGGCCAGGCAAATCTTCGACAGCCGTGGGAATCCCACCGTCGAGGTACTCCTCTTTATCTCCGTCCACTTCTTCTTCCACTTCACATCGCCTATTTGTCTTCTCCGCTTCCATTTCTTATCTTATCTTATCTTCCTTTCCACTTTTCAACATTTTCCCTTAAACCTCCTTCCTATCAGTGGTCGGTCGTTAGATGTGCTAGTTTTCTGGTTGATTTTAACGACTAACGAGTTTTACAATTTTTCTTTGAACTTGATCTTCTATTTCTGTTTATGAATTTGAAATCAGGGTGAGATTGTTGAATTCTTGTTTTTCATTTTTGTGTCAATTGTTGTAGGTCGATATTGTGTTGTCTGATGGAACCTTGGCCAGAGCAGCTGTTCCTAGCGGTGCATCTACTGGTAAGTTGTTCTTATTCTTCTCCCACTTCGTAGTATTCATGCTTTGATTTCATTAAGAAAATATGTTTCGATCTGTCTGATAAATTTAGCTGATGCGGATCCTTTACGTAATCTCTTCTTCCCAAAGGTATTTACGAGGCACTTGAGTTGAGAGATGGAGGTTCTGACTACCTGGGGAAAGGTGTTTTGAAGGTAATCATCGATCATTTAGAGTTCGATGCAGTTAGTGTTTTATACCTAACTCTTTACTTGGCTTTTTATGTAGGCTGTTGAGAATGTCAATGCAATTATTGGCCCTGCATTGGTTGGAAAGGTTCGTTCATTGGCATCCTTGTGCACTAATTCTCTAAACGTTTTGTTCAACCAAGCTTTACCCTGTCTTTTATGTAGTATTTGTTTTTCTTCTATATGTCAATGACAGTTTTTTCGAATTCTCTTTGCAGGACCCAACTGAGCAGGTCCAGATTGACAACTTCATGGTTCAACAACTCGATGGAACTGTTAACGAGTGGGGGTGGTGCAAGCAAAAGGTATTGATTGGATTTCCCTTATCGATGTAGTGTTCTACATGTTACCCATTATTGTTTTAAACAAAACAAACAAAACCGAGTCGATCTTTATAAATGATGTGTCTTTCAATTTTCAGCTTGGAGCAAATGCCATCCTCGCAGTGTCTCTTGCTGTCTGCAAAGCTGGAGCTAGCGTGAAGAAAATTCCTCTGTACAAGGTACTTTAGTGTAAAGTTTGGAAAAAAAAAGTGTTGCTAAAGGTGTTCGTGTCCCTTGCCAAAAGCTGTTGACGAGAAATACTCTAATAACGGAACAACAATGACTAGTTACTTGATTTTTTTTTTTAGACTTTCTCGTGTCTTTTGCCCGGTCACTGATGGGATGTGAACAAAATTTTCGCGTGTCGTTTTCTAGACAGTAGAGAATGGAGATCAGTAAATAATGTTGCTTTTCAAATCATCAGAGACTAGTCTGCATAAGTGACTCTAGAAGATGTATTACTGTATTACTTGTGATGGGTAAGATGTGTCGATATTCATATACCAGTTTATTTTTGATGCAGCACATCGCCAACCTTGCTGGTAACAAGAGCTTGGTTCTGCCCGTTCCTGCATTCAATGTCATTAACGGAGGATCACATGCAGGAAACAAGCTTGCAATGCAGGCATGCTTTATTGATCTTGACCTTTTCGCATCTATTTCTGTATGTATAACCATATCTAGATTGTTGCTAACATATCATATCTACAGGAGTTCATGATTCTACCAGTTGGAGCTTCTTCATTCAAAGAGGCCATGAAGATGGGGGTGGAAGTGTACCACAATTTGAAGGTTCACCATAGTTTTTTCCCCCTCCCCTTTGCTTTTGATTATTAGGAGATCTTTTCCTCCGAGGGGGGTGGGTCGGGGTTATATTCACATCAAAATAAGGCTACTACAACGAGCAATGTGGTTTATTCATCAAATTTAAAAAATGTTTGGATCTATTCTCTTTTCTAGGGATTTTCCTTCAAAGATTGATGTTAATACTTGCAATATTGTTTCATGCAATATTGTTTCGTGGGCTTCTTTTTTGTACGCCCCTATATTCTTTAGTTTTTCTCAGTTAAAGCCAAAAAAAAAAAAAAAAAAAAAA